ATCCAAACACGAGTTTAAGCCATTTCTTCAGCATTTTTCAAGAACCAAACGGGTAGAGGCGATTTTCAAGAGTCATTTTCTTCCCCAAATTGTTGGTAAGTGATTCTAAACCATTTTGTTTCAATTACCCATTACATTTCTTGAATTATCAACCTAAAATCTAGAGTTTTCATGGTAGAATTAGGGGTTAAGGTAGAAAACTAGGGATTTCGGAAATTTGAGTATTTAGACCTCAATTAGAGGTCGGATTCCAAAACTAATTACATATTCGGGCTTGGGGGTGTATGGGTAAATGGATTTTGGTCTGTACCTCGGGTTTTGACCAAGCAGGTCTGGGGTCGATTTTTTGACTTTTTGGATGAACATTTGGGAAATTTAATTTATGCAATATAATCGATTTCTTTAGCAATATTTGATATTATTGAGTCATTTTTGAATAGATACAAGTGGTTTGGAGGTGAATTCTAAAAGAAAAGCTGTGATTGAGAATTAAGTGGCCTTTGGAGCGAGGTAAGTGTTGTGTCGAACCTTAGATTATTTGCTAAGTGAAATTTATGTGAGCGGCGTATATGTGAGGTGACGAGTACTTATGCGCCGCCAATTTAGTTGTATTCCATGTTTCTTCCATTTTCTTATATTTTCTCTTTCCTATGCCTAATTGCTACATGTTTATACTAGTGTTGTTAAATTGATCGTCATTATCATGGTTATGGATTTTCTGTTAGTAATCGAGTATTCATTTAAAAGTTGAGATTTATATTATGGAACCAAATATTGAAGTAAGATTTGTATTTGTTATTCTATCTCCCCGTTGTTATCTATGCATTGCATTATGGTAAGGGAGAGTGTTAATACATGAATGGTGATGCCGTGTCATATTGTGAGTGTTAATGCACGAAGGGTGATGTCGTGTCATATTGTGAGTGTTAATGTACGAATGATGATGTCGTGCCATATTATGAGTGTAAAAGCACGAAGGGTGATGCCGTTCCATGATATGAGAGTTAATGCACGAAGGGTGATGCCATGCAGTTTCTATTAATTTTATGGTGAGATTGAGAGTAAAAGCACGAAGGGTGATGCCGTGCATTTTTCCTTTACTGTATTCACTATTCCTGTTGATTCATGGTATATTGACTTCTCCGGTGATCATTCTGTTGTAGTTCCTTATCTTGTATTCCTCTCAGTATGTTCCCCTCCTGACATTTCCTGTTTAGTTCTTCATTTCTGTTATTTGTATATATACATTGTTAAATTGTACAGGTTAATTTGTAGGTGCCTTGCCTTAGCCTCATCACTATTTCGTCGAGGTTAGGCTCGACACTTACCAGTACATGGGGTCGGTTGTACTGATACTGCACTCTACACTTTTTGTGCAGATTTTGATACAGGCTTGGGTTGATCAAAATTTTGCTATTGGTCTGTTGTCTGGAGACTCAAGGTAGATCTGTCGGTGTTCATAGACCTTGAAGTCCTCGTCTATCTTTTCTGTTCTATTGTTTCTTTCATTCAGACAGTTGTATTTCTTTCAAACTATTACTTATAGTAAATTCTAGAATGCTCGTGAATTGTGACTCCAGATCCGGGTGGTAGTAATTAATACAGTTTTATGATATTCCGCACTTATCATATTTCATCTTAATTAATTATTATTAATTACTGAATGGGAATAAGGAATTAGTTTAATGATTCTCTAATGTTGGCTTGCCTATCAAGTGAAATGTTAGGCGCCATCACGATCCCGTCGTTGGGAAATTTCGGGTCGTGACAGTAGCGTTCTGCTTGTTGCTTTTGGGCGACAATTCTTACGTAGGCCATATCTCTTCGTTCCCCGACTTCGTCGAGCTCATGCCTTCTACTGTCATCGTTCTAGGGTCCACTTTCACGGAAGTATCTTAGGCTAGGTTCCTCGACTGGTATTACTGCATCAGTCCCATAGACTAACGAGTATGGTGTTTCCCCTTTGCTCGTTTTTGGCATTGTTCGGTAGGCCCAGAGTACTTCTGGTAATATTTACGGCCACAATCCCTAGGCATCTTCGAGTTTCTTCTTCATGATATTTAGTATTGCCTTGTTGGACGATTCCGCTTGCCCGTTGCCCGCGGGGTGGGAAGGCGTTGAGAGTATTCTTTTGATGTGCCATTTTTCGAAAACGTCGGCGACCTTATTTCCTGCAAATTGAGGTCCGTTGTCGCAGCTAATTTCTTTGGGGAGACCGAAACGGCATATGATGTTTTTTCATATGAAGGCGTCCACTTCATGTTCGCGTATTTGGGCGAATGCTCGTGCTTCCACCCATTTAGAGAAATAGTCAGTTAAAACCAAGAGAAATCATACGTTACCTCGTCCTGCCGGGAGGGGCCCCATGATGTTCATTCCCCATATGATGAACGGCCAAGGGGAAGTTACTGTATGTAGGTGTTTGCCTTCTTGGTGGATCATTGGGGCGTACTTATGGCATTGTTCGCATTTTTTCACAAAATCATCGGCCTCATTTTTCATGGTGGGCCAGTAATACCCTGCTCGTATGAGGCATCTGAGCAAAGCCCGATTGCCGGAGTGAGCTCCACAATGTCCTTCATGTACTTCTTCAAGGACGCGCCGCATCTGATTTGGGCCTAAGCATTTCGCCAGAGGGCCTCCATATATGTCCTTTTGTATATGTAGTTGTGAACGATGTTGTATCTAGCCGCTTGCATTCGCAGCTTCTTGGCCTCTTTTTTATCCTTGGGGAGTATGCCGTCCTGCAAATATGTGATAATATGGTTGTGCCAGTCCCAAGTCAGGTTTATGGTTCTTACCTCAATTTGGTCTATCGACGAGTTGAGGAGGTGGACAATATTTTGACCTTCGATTGTAATGTTCTTGGTGGCTGCTGCTAATTTGGCAAGACCGTCTGCCTCGATGTTCTGTGCTCGGGGAATCTGATTGAGCTGACATTCATCGAATTCGGGTAGCAGTTTGCAGATTTCTGTCTGATATTTTTGTAACCTTCGCTCCTTGATTCGGAGAGCAACCTTAGCCGCTTCACCCCGTATTTGAGTGCTAGTCTCGATCCTGCAATTACGACCTCATACTCAGCCTCGTTGTTAGTCATGTCCAGGCACCTTATGGACTGGCGAATCACTTCGCATGTCGGGACTTCGAGTACGAGTCCCAGCCCAGACCATGACGCGTTAGACGCGTCGTCGGTGTACAGGACCCAGAGGTCTTATGTTTGGGAAGAAGCGTGGACGACTTCCTTTTCGACTTTGGGCATTACTTTCGCACTGAAGTCGGCGAGGACTTGCGACTTTATCATTGTTCGCGGCCGATATGTAATATCGTGCTCGCTTAGTTCGATGGCCCATTTGGCCAATTTGCCCGATAGTTCGGGTTTGTGTAAAATGATTCTTAAGAGGAAAGTTGTGATGACCGATATGAGGTGGATTTGGAAGTATGGTCTAAGCTTTCGTGAAGCTACGACTAAGGCCAGAGCCAGTTTTTCAAGATGGGGGTATCTGGTCTCGGCGTCGACTAGTGTCTTACTAATGTAATAGATGGGAGATTGCGTACCTTTATTTTCTTGGACTAAGACTCCGCTCACAACTACTTTAGACACGGTGAGATAGATACGGAGAAGCTGTTCTGGTTCTGGTTTTGAGAGCAACAGCGGCGAGGACAAGTACACCTGTAACTCCTTCAGGGCTTGGATGCACTCAGGGGTCTATTGGAGGCCGTTCTCCTTTTTGAGTACGCCGAAGAACTTATGGCACCTATAGGAGGATCGTGAGATGAACCTCGAAAGGGCGGCGATATGGCCAGTCAGCCTCTAGACATGTTTTTTGGTGGTCAAGTGTTCTGGTATCCCTTCGATGGCCTTGATTTGGTCGGGATTGACCTTGATGCCTCGCTACGACACTAGGAAACCCAGGAATTTTCCTGAGGCCATGCTGAATGCACATTTTTTGGGGTTCAGTTTCATGCCGTATTTTCTGAGTATGCCGAAGGCTTCTCTCAAGTGGTCGATGTGATCTTCTTTCTTTTTGGATTTGACCAGCATATCGTCGATGTAGACTTCCATCGTTTTTTCGAGTTGTTCTTTGAACATTTTCATCACCAGCCTTTGGTTTGCCCCCGCATTTTTCAATCCGAAGGGCATGACTCTGTAGCAGTATGTCCCCTAGTGGGTGATGAAGATGGTCTTTTCCTGGTCCTCTTCCTCCATGAGGATCTGATCATAGCCCGAGTATGCATCCAAGAAACTTAGTAGCTCGTGCCCGACTGTTGCGTCGATGATTTTGTCGATATGAGGTAATGGAAATGAATCCTTGGGGCAAACTTTATTCAAGTCAGTGAAATCTACGCACATCCACCACTTGCCATTCTTCTTTTTCATCATGACTACGTTGGTGACCCATTAGGGATACTTCGACTCCCTAACGGAGCCATTTTCCAATAATGTTTCCACTTCTTCGCGTATCGGGTCATTAATTGCGGAGTTAAACTTACGCCTAACTTGCCTAACCGGTGGGTAGAGTGGATCAACGTTCAATTTGTGCTTGGTGATTTCCTTTGGTATACCTGGCATATCTGCATGGCTAAAAGCAAATAAATCCGCGTTATCAGTTTTAAATTCATGAAACTTACCCGGTTCCTGAAGTTTGCAGCCGATGTAAGCTTTCTTGTTGTGGTTGTTGCTGTCCAATTGAACTGGGTTGAGATCCTCTATGGTCGACCCTGCGACCTTGACCATATCGGGGTCTTTGATGACGTCCTCACTGTCATCGCATATCGACCTCGACCCTCTTGATTGCTATGCCTCCTTTTCTTTATCTTTTGTTTTTGGGTGGTCGTGCAGTCTAGGGCGATGCGGTAATATTCCTGGGATGTGTGTTGCTCCCCTCGTATACTAGATATGCTATATGGAGTTGGGAATTTGATGACTTGGTACAAGCTGGAGGGTATAGCTCACATGGTATGTATCCATGGCATCCTATTATGGCATTGTATACCGTGTCCTAGTCCATGATGTGGAATGTGGTCTCCACAGTGACGCCACCTGGCGGGACAGGGAGTGTGATCTCGCCTGATATCCGTTCAACTGCATTGTTAAAGCATGCTACTGTGATGTAGTGTGGTACTATCTTGTCCTCGAGTTTCATTTGTGTGAGTAATCGAGGATGGATAATACACGCGCAGCTCCCGTCATCTACCATAATCCGTCTTATGTAGGTATCAAAAATTCGTAAAGTAATAACGAGAGCGTCATAGTGAGGGAATGCCAACCCGTTGGTATCTGACTTATCGTAGATGATACTTTCATCGAGTTCATCGTATAGTTCGTGGGTGATCAACCGCTTGAGCTTGTGGGTTATGGTGAACTTCACGCCATTGATGAAAGCATCGTCCCAGCCACCAATGATCATGTGGATGGTGCGGGCTGGTGAGGGCGACTTCGGTGGCCCTTGATGTTGTTCGCGTCCCCTGGAAAAGTTGGTCCTTCCCCGATCGCTCAGCAATTCTTTGAGGTGTCCCTGTCGCAGCATGTTTACGACCTCCTGTCTTAGGGCGATGCATTCTTCAATTTTGTGCCCTCGCTCTTGATGGAACTCGCAGAGGGCGTCTGATTTTCTGGTATTTGGGTCCGATCTCATTTTTTGTGGCCACTTTACCTTTGGTCCGAGTTTCTCCAAGGCGTAGACGATCTCTGTAGGTGATACACAAAAATTGTGAGTGGATAGTAAATGGGGCATAGCTCTCTCATTTCGGTGAGTCCCTGTTCTTGATCGGAGTGGGATCTCTTCTGACATCATTTCTCTGATTTTTTCTGGATTCTGCTTGCACTAATATGAGTCGAAGAGTCGACCTATTGAGGTCATTTTTGTCTGCTCGGACTTCAGCACAGTATGCATTATGTATTTCGTCCCAAGTTGTAAGGGGATATTTCATAAGCTGACTTAATAATTTTCTTGTCGCCCTTGAACCATTTCTACTCATCCCGTTTTGAAAAGCAGCTACCGCCATTCCTTTTGATACGTTGGGCAAAGTCATTCTTACTCGGTTAAAATGGACGAGGAAGTCCCGCAGTCCTTCTCCCGGGGACTATGTGATAGCAAAGATGTCATTCACTCTTGCCTCGGCCTTGTTGGCCCCGGCATGGGCTGTCACGAACTTATCAGCCATTTCCTCAAAGGTTTCGATGGAACGTGCCGGCAGTTGTGAGTACCAGGTTAATGCACCTCCCGTGAGGGTTTCGCATTTCTTTAGCAGAATGGAGGATACTTGTTCCTTGGCTAGGTCATTGCCTTTCATGGTGGTGACGTAATGGGTCACATGATCCTCGGGGTCGGCTGTGCCATCGTATATTTTTAGATAAGACGGCATTTTAAAGGTCTTTGGTATTGCATGTGGGGCAGCGCTATCACTGTATTACTGCTCGACTAACCGACCGGCATCTCTCTTCGGCAATAACTTAGGAGTGCCCGGGATTTTATCGACCCTTTCTTGGTGTTCTCTCATTTGGTCCCGAAGTGCCTTGTTCTCGTTTTCCATTTCTTCCATCCTTTTCAGAACGGTTGTGATAGCGTCGTTGCCTGCATTGTTAACAACATTGTGAGTAATACCTGTTGTTGTGGGTGAAGGAGAAGGTTGATCATGTTGCTCGCCCGCTGATGGTGCAACACAAGTTCTCGCATTTACTGCGGCAGCGTCCTGAACGGGTTTATGGAGGACACTGGTTAGTGTATCAGTTAGCCAGGCCTCTAGGAGCTTCTTTATTGCTGGTGGTGTCTCCTCTCCCACGGATATTGAGGCTGTCTTGCCAAGGGATTTTGTGATGCTGCTGTGGGGAGGGGTGATCCACCTCGCCTAGGAGAGGCATTGGGCGTTGTTTCCTCGTCCATTGCTTCGGAGCCTTCGTGGATGATGTCCATGAGGTTTGTTGGGAGGTCACTCATTATTCTCGTTCNTATATATATATAAGCATGAAGGGAAGTAGGCACTAACATATGTAGCTGCTAATGACAAAATGTTTACAGGAATTTTTCAATTGCATGGCCTAGGACACGAAGGCACAGTTGAATTGCAAGTTCAAACCTTTTTACAGAGATTTTCGTGTTTGAATAAAACGAGTGTCCCAATGGTGAAAGACCATCTGCATCATTTTTGGTGCTTTATTAGCAACTTTATCTGACTTGTCTTTTTACAATGCAATGAAAGTTGCATCTCAAGAAACTCCACTCTCCACCACTGGCCCTCCTTAGCCCATTTATGCTGATTGCATGTGCCTATTCGACCCCCCTACCTGTACTCTGCTTCCCCTTAACTAATTGATTAGTTCTTTTCCTGAAGATCAGTCTTGTCTCATAATGTTTCAAAAGGAAAGTTGAAAAGTAGTGTCCAAATTCAACTTCTCCAGTCTCCACAAATCCCACATGCATATAATAAGCAGTGAAAATCCACTAGGTGCATCAGTAACTCTTATAGTCTTCAGATAAAAGATTGAAAAGAACCAGATAGGTTTACTCTGCTCTCTGTGTTTTGCTGCAACAACTTTCTTTCGTCCAAAAATTTCAACATGAGTCATCGCCATTTTTTCTTCTTTCCTCTGATGGCTCATGGCCACATGATTCCTACGCTTGATATGGCCAAGCTCGTCGCTTCTCGTGGTGTTAAGGCCACCATAATCACCACACCTCTCAATGAATCAGTTTTCTCCAACTCTATTCAAAGAAGCAAGCAAGTGGGAATTGAAATTGACATCCGTTTGATCAAATTTCAAGCTGTTGAGAACGGCTTGCCTGAAGGATGTGAGCGCCTTGATCTCATCCCTTCCGATGACTTGCTAAATAACTTCTCCACGGCTACAACTATGATGCAAGAACCATTTGAGCAGCTTCTTCAAGAATGCCGCCCCAATTGTCTTGTTTCTGATATGTTCCTTCCTTGGACTGCTGACAGTGCAGACAAATTTAACATTCCAAGATTGGTTTTTCATGGCACAAGCTACTTTGCACTTTGTGTCGCTGATAGCATCAGGCATTATACGCCTTTCAAGAATGTCTCCTCTGATTCCGAAACTTTTGCTGTACCGAATTTGCCTAACCAGATCAAGCTGACTAGAACACAGTTATCCCCATTTGATCGAATCGAGGAAGAGGAAAGTATGTCCCCAGTGATAAAAGCACTCAGAGATTCTGGCTTGAAGGGCCACGGAATTGTCTTCAACAGCTTCTATGAGCTTGAACCAGATTATGCTGAACATTACACCAAGGTTCTGGGTAGAAAAACATGGGCTATTGGCCCACTTTCTCTGTGCAACAGGGACAGTGATGATAAAGCTGAAAGAGGGAAGAAATCCTCTATTGACAAACACGAGTGCATGAAATGGCTTGATTCGAAAAAATCAAGTTCCGTTGTTTACATTTGTTTCGGAAGCGTAGCAATTTTCACTGCAACACAAATGCGTGAACTAGCTATGGGAATTGAAGCTTCTGGACAAGAATTCATTTGGGTTGTTAGAATAGAACTAGACAACGAAGATTGGTTGCCCGAAGGATTCGAGGAAAGAATAAAAGAAAAAGGTTTAATCATAAGAGGATGGGCACCCCAATTGTTAATTCTTGATCACAAAGCTGTGGGAGCTTTTGTTACGCATTGCGGATGGAATTCAACGCTGGAAGGAATATCGGCAGGGGTGCCAGTGGTGACATGGCCTGTGTTTGGGGAGCAATTCTTCAATGAAAAGTTAGTGACTGAGGTTTTGAGAACTGGGGTTGGTGTTGGTTCGGTTCAATGGAAGAGAATAGCTAGCGAGGGAGTGAAAAGAGAAGCAATATCTAAGGCAATAAAACAGGTCATGGAAAGTGAAGAAGCAGAGGGATTCAGAAACAGAGCCGAAGAGTACAAGGAGATGGCTAGGCAGGCAGTTGAAGAAGGAGGATCATCTTACTCTGGATTAACTAGTTTGCTACAAGACATAAGTACATATAGTTCGACAAGTAATTAAGAAACGATTTGTTCCTAATCACTCCACTAGTACAAGTCCAAATAGATATGACCACCAATCAAGAGCCAAAAAAGAAAATATGCATAGGATGTATATCATCTTTGTAATTTTTGGTGCACTCTTTCTATATGCTTATTTAATCGTTATCGTTTCCCTTCATTTAATCGTTATCTCACTCTTTCTATATGCTTATTCAGTCGGATAAACCTTCAGGTTCTACATGATTTGTGATCATATCTTGATGAACATAAACATTATGGGAAGAAGAAACATCAGATTTGAGAAGCCTTACGTGTTACATATATTTATATTATGTTATGTGTACAATAAGTGGAAGTATCTTCACAACAAATCAAACCATAAACTCTAATTTTACCACTATGGGAGGTCGAGTTGTCAAACTATTGTGTTTGTATTACATTACGTAGAATATTGTTGAAGTTCTCATACTACTACAAGCTTGAAAACTAACAAATGGTACATAGAGCATCGGGGCACCATCCATATGGAAGCCCCACCTTATAGCAAACGTTCGCTACACAGGGGGAATTCAGACTCTGTAAGGGAAGCTCGATTTGGTGAAACCCACAGAAATAACCAGATATGAACAAGAATTCCAGACAGATGTCTTTCTTCGATTTTGAGCTCACGAGCATCATGTTCTTACTTACCAGCAAGTACTCGGGCAAAGTAATCCCCTGCTTCCCCCTTCTCCCGATGATGCCACACTCGGCACAGTAGGAAGCCAAGGACGATAAAATGGAAGAGAACATATATTAATATGGTAGCTTCATGACTTGACATGAACAAACAACTTTCGCGCTGGAACCCAGGCGTCATTGTGTATCAACAGTACGTTTTATTTGTAGAGCAGCTCTAACAACATTGCCCCTTGTGATAATCCCAACCTTCACATTTCAGTAAACATGGCTTCATCAGAAATTAAAAGCTGCTGGCAGCTGCACTAAAAATCCAATAAAGAGAACAAGAAGGCAAATTACCAGTTTGCCATCAACATCAACAACAGGCAGCCGCCGGTACTTCGTTTGGAGCAACAACCTAAAATCAGCAGGAATTTATCTCATGATGTCAACTTTACAGTTAAATCGCTAAATGAATAATCCAGATTCTCATTTAGTGATTAGCAAGAATACTATAGTCGAGCGGAAGGAGAAAAGATTAGCAATAATCCTCTGCCTTAAATTACATGTCTCTTGCAGCCTTCCCAAATAGAATAGGTATAAAAAAGAAAAAGGCATTAAAAGGAATTTGACTAACCAATTGCACTAACTAATTGGAACCTTATTACAGCTTAATGAAAATACAAAAGCTTGTTCAATTACCTCGCAGCATCTTCAAGGTTGGTGTTTTCACGGACAGACAATGGAGTTGGTGTCATGACATCGCCAACAACTTTTCCATTAGTTTTGCTCAGTAGCTTCTGAACCTCATTAAACGTCTACAGAATCACAGAATCAAAGCAAGAAACTCAACAAGATAAAGAAGGAGCTAAAACATTATTCATGGATTCAGAATTTCCTTGTACGCTACATACTGACACCTACTTATAGTAATCTCTAGAAAACCTTTTTTTTCCTGTCACCGGTGAGAGAGAATAATCTCTAGAAAGCTCTAACTGGATGTAATTCTAACTCCACCCACAGAATGAGAGCCAACCTCACAAGTAAAATCTGGTCTAAATACTTGTAATACCTTGCACTCGCCAAAACTATTTCCTAGCATGATGACTTAATTCTTCAGGTCCTATTAACAATCCGTGAACGTGGTGGCATGCAGAGTCAAATTAAACTAGGAATGTGCTTAATCTAAGAAGATGATTCACTGATGTTTCAGCTAACTTTTTCAAAGAAAAAAAGGAATCACTATATATGATCATAGAGCATTCTTCACATCAAAACTATGTCCTAAACTATTATCTCAGCTCAGAGCCGAAACAAAAATATAAAATAGAAGTGCAAACATGAAACCATATTACAAACCACAACAAGTATAATTATTCGGTAATGAAAAATGTTATCTACTATTAGAACGAAAGATTATTACATACCGTCCAAGTACTGTCAACATCAGGAAACAGATTTGTATCAGCTTGGCCAGTTCCTATGATAAACATTTAAAAAAATTGAAAAACAAAAGAAGAAGAAGAAGAAGAAGAAGCAGTAAGAGAAATTGCAGGAAAACAGTGTCACTTCTATTAATGGATGGAAACTGATATTTTTAACAATGGTTCAACTTAAGGAAGCACACAAAGAAACAGTAACCACACATTCATCAAAAGTCAAATTGGTTACTATATCTCACTCATCATAGGAAAAAATTTACATGCATGATCTCAAAGTTCTTAAGTAGTCAAAGTAGAATAAATCACGAAATAGGGACCGCAAGCCTGATCTTTTCTCCTTCTCTTAGCTCCCCTCACCTCTCCCTCTCTTCTTCTTCTTTTTTCCTTCTAAAGGGAGAAACCTCGCTCTCCTCTAGCTGATAAAGAATTATTGGATACCTCATTGCCAGCTCAGCCACTATAGACTTGCTGCCCTAATCATAGGTATTCCAGCATGCACTTTTCACTGCATATCTGAAGAGTGTGTTATGTCCTTCAATTTTTTTTCTTTAATATATAGTCGGCTGAATTTTAAAGGTTTAGCTCAGTAAGATTACGAACAATGTTCAATCTAAACTTCAATCATCATTAAAGCAAGTCTCATCTGATTAAGGTAAACATCTGCTGATGAATTCAATGAAGAACTAATGCTAAAGGACATTTTAGAAGTTAGATTACAAAAGCCTCCTGCTATACGGAGCTATTGCTGAGCTATCTCTCGAATACTTAGTCAATAAAAGGTAAGTAGTGTGTTTAAAATTTAAATAATGTTTCTATTAGTAGAAATTGTCCAGACAAAAAAGAAGTTTCATGTTAGCTATATGGACGAGGGAATTCCAGTCGTACAGTAGAATGCCCCAGCATGCAGGAGAGATCCTATAGGTTTGCTTCTTTATTAAACAACCTTTGATTTTGTTTACTCCTTGACTGTTGTAGTTTCGAAGCACTATATAAATGTTACTTATGTCAACCCCTTCCCCCAGGACTCCGATCATATTTTCACCAACAAAACCTGAAAAACTCAAGCGCCAAAAGACCTGTCTGGATCTGTCCAGGTTTAGATTCCCCATTAAACGAGAGGAAGAAACCTTCGCTTGTTTAACATTACAAGCCTCGTTAAAAATTCAGAAGTCATATACCATCCATGCAGTCTCAGCAGTATGTTATGTGACCCTACCAGAATAGGAATATCATTCTTGACAAGCTTATGGATTCCTAGCTCCGTTTAAGACTCAATATTTTTATTCATAATAGTGAACAACTCATTGAGAACTTTGGACAGCTTGCTTTTTGAATATAATGACGTGCAAGTATATCTTTTCTTATTTCTTATAAGAGTAATGGAGTACAAATATTATCCTTGATATTTAATTTTTTTCCTTGATATTGTAAGAATAAGATAAATGTGATGTTTAGATATTTACCGATTCAGTAGTTTCCGCTGTCAGGAAAACTACCCAATCATAGCTACTCTATTATTGCTCATGAGCATCACTTAAACACGCTCAGCACCAGAATACAGCATTTAGAGAAAGTTCCCAGACGAGTAATAAGGTTGCAAAAGCATAAATTTGTTCACAGACGCTCAATGATACCTGATATAGAGTCAAGTGCCAGTAGGTCATAATCAGAAACAACGCCAACCTGCAGCAGAGTGTCATCTTCTGTCACTGCATTTTATAACTTGATCTAAAAGAAAGCATTATTATTAAAAGAGAGAGAGAGAGAGAGAGAGAGAGAGAGAGAGAGAGAGAGAGAGAGAGAGAGAGAGAG